ATTCTCAGGTATCACAGATTATATGCCATTAAAATCGCTTATGATTGATAACTGGAAAACATTGTCATTATCCCAAAATACACATTCTTGCACTCACTGACCAACCAAATTGCAAACATACTTGATATTTGATATCCTGGTAAGTAAACATCCAGTGCTTCCAAAGACATAAATTCTGTGAGGGGGGCACAAGCGTTAATTACCTGTGTATGAGAATGTTGTCAATATAAAACACATTTGTCTGTAATGTTTGATTACATGTGCAGTGAGTGCAGAGGAGAGATCAAGGGAGATAACCCTGACAGTACCTTGGTAGCTGGTTCATGGCATCAACCCCAGCCAGACAAGCCTGTTTGTTGTTATATGAAATCTTGTGTGTAGTATGTGAGGCCCCATTACCATGATCAAGTGAATGTAAACACATCGTGAAGAGTCTGTGGTGTGTGATATTTCCATGGAGGATCATATGTGATGAATATTTGATCAACTTCCAGCGGGATAAGAAAAACATAAGCTTTCTTTTATGTTGAGTAATGGGTTTCGTTTTTTAATCATAAGTTTATGTTTTTAAAGGTTATTATTTATATTTGTTATGTATTATTTGCAAATTTGTATAATAGTCTGAAGACGAAAATGGGTAATGGAAAAAGCATCTTTATTTGCCCAGTGTTTTATATCTTCATTCTTTTGGGAAACATACCCTGGGTCTGTTCATAATGCAACAACTTTGAGCCTGATTTGAATGATGCTAGAAGTAGCCATCCAATCAGCTTCCACTGATGCACAAATTACTGATAAGGGAGATGAATAATGAGATATTCCCCTATTGAATGAGCCCAGGAATTTGTCATAATAGTGTGGTAATAATGCCTCAGAAATCAAGACAGGGAAACAGGTGGTTTAATACTTAGAAAAATAAATATCAAACTGACATTTAGTTGCACATCGGAATGAATATCTCTCATATCTATAATATGACATTGTTTTATAGACATCTGTTGTAATTATGCCCATATATCTTACATGCTTTCAGTAACAATATAATACAGTAACAGTAACCTAACAATAATAAGATTGAGTGGTATTTTTTTAATGAGATAAACAATTAAATATGCTGGTGTACTTAATCTACATAGGCTCATATGTTTTGCATAGCATTGCAGTGTGACCATCAGAGCACAGATTTACTGGTTGTGTTTTAGTGAGTGAGTGAATCTTGCTGATGGCAGCATCTGATCAGCTATAAGTGACAGATATCGTCATACAGTGGTACAGTATAGTATTCAAAATGCTGCTACTTAGGGGAGATAAGCACAGATAGGGTGTTAAGGAGTCATATCTTTGTTATGGTTTCTGCATAACATGAAGGTATATCCACATGTTGCATATGTTAAGAGTTATCACAAGTTTACAGGGAGGTGGGGTAGCCTAGTGGTTAAAGCGTTCACTCGTCACGCTGAAGACCCGGGTTCGATTCCTCACATGGGTACAATGTGTGAAGCCCATTTATGGTTTCCCCCGCCGTGATATTGCTGGAATGTTGCTAAAAGCAGCATAAAACTACACTCACTCACTCACTCACTCACTCACTCACAGGTTTACAGGAGAGTAAAGACAATGCAAGGGGAGATAACTTTAACATCATCCTTTTAGAGCCACTTTTATAATCTTTCCAAATCTACCTGCCTGCATTATAAGATAACTTTATGGTATTTTAGCATAAGTTACCAGAGTGTTCTGCTTATAGAAATTTAGATCAGCTGTTCCTAGCAGTTCTTAGCAGGGATGTGCTTGCAGTTACCATAGGATATATTTTTAATTTTCCCTCTTCAAAGCGCTTTTCACTTAAGCATTAGCTGAAAGATGTGAGCTCCAGCTCGGTGCAGGTCTCTTTTGCTACACCTCATTAAACAATGTGACTCCATCATGCACAGGTTTTCCAATTCCTGAAGACTTCCACATAACCTTGACACCAACAATCAACATTGCAGCAGCAGCATGTTGTCTCAGTAGCAAATGCATGATTCAGTTCTGCAAAAATAGCTTCCATCTCGACACGTTATTGGTAGTAAACATGGAGAAAATTTTCATCAAAGGGTGTTCTTAGGTATCTGGAAAGGTAATTTGCTCTTCCATAACTATGTTTTCATGGCCATATTCTGTCAGACCGACCTTTGGTGAGATGTACAAGAATGTAAAAGTTCATATCACATGGATCCATGTTACTGATGTAACTGATACATAGTATACTACTATCTCTTGGGCTATAACGGTCCATAACCCCAGGGCCCTGTTTCACAAAGTTATTGTATCGCTACAACTGTCATAAGTTTATGTTACAGTATAGGTGGTACGACAGTCATAACACTACGATAGCTATGTGAAACCGGGCCCTGAATCACCTTGAATGAACATCTGGTGTTTCAGGCCTTGATAGGATTGTGATAATGGGATATATATTATATATGTGGACTAGATTGTTTTTACTGTCACATTAATATATTTTGAAATAGCTTGAACATGTGTCATTATATCTAATGTAGCAGAAAACATATGTTGTTGAAATATTGAATATGAATACTATACATGATGACAATTATAGTGTGTGGTCCTTGACACATAGGTTTCGAACTGTCGCAGCCTTCTTATTGTTGTCTTTATTTAAACACCTGTATATAATATCGGTAATGTACAGGTTCAAGTTGGAAGGAGAGTAGAATATTCCAATAATATAAAGATTGTAAAAGCAAATGGTGGCATCATTTCATTGCCTAGCCTTTGATCTGTCCCCATAACTCTAAAAAGAATAAAGCAGATGACTCCGACATTTGTATTCAGAAATATTACATGCTCATTTCAGCTGGGTAAGGCTGCATGCAGCATTCGAAGTTGATATCACAAAACCTATAAACTGTGTTAACATCCAGTGAAAGTAGCCTTCACCGACTAGTATCGTCTGAAGGCTCTGGTTCTGAACCATTCCTAGTTTCTTCAATTTTGCAACAAATCGGACCTGAAAAATACTGACAGAAATTTTAATTATGGAATCATTTTAGCCTCTTTCATGCAGGCCCAGCTCTTAGGTTGTGTATGCAGAAAGTATTTATGTTGAGAGGATACATTTCATGCTTGGCTGACTGTAGAGGAAAACACTGTCATGCAGTATTTATTGCCTAAGTGTGAACAACAATCCCTTCCAATCCCTTTAACGTAACTGAATCCTGTGGCACATGTGACAGGTTATCTGCAGTTATTGCCCGTTGTTTGTTGTGTAACGACTTGTTCAGCAATATTGACCCTGTCTGGAAATAATCCAAACTGGACCAGACAGTCCAGTGACACGATGAGCAGTAACATTGTTGGCAACTGCGAACTGATGACATCCATCTACCATGTCAAAAGCCTTGACTATCAGATCCTACTAGTGCTTCAAGCACGGGATGCTGAAGGCCAATTCTAACTATCAGATCCTACTAGTGCTTCAAGCACGGGATGCTGAAGGCCAATTCTAACTATCAGATCCTACTAGTGCTTCAAGCACGGGATGCTGAAGGCCAATTCTAACTATCAGATCCTACTAGTGCTTCAAGCACGGGATGCTGAAGGCCAATTCTAACTATCAGATCCTACTAGTGCTTCTACTAGTGCTTCAAGCACGGGATGCTGAAGGCCAATTCTAACTATCAGATCCTACTAGTGCTTCAAGCACGGGATGCTGAAGGCCAATTCTAACTATCAGATCCTACTAGTGCTTCAAGCACGGGATGCTGAAGGCCAATTCTAACTATCAGGGGGATGCTGAAGGCCAATTCTAACTATCAGATGCTTCTACTAGTGCTTCTAGTGCTACTAGTGCTTTCAAGCACGGATGCTGAAGCCAATTCTAACTATCAGATCCTACTAGTGCTTCAAGCGGGATGCTGAAGGCCAATTCTAACTATCAGATCCTACTATGTTCTATCAGATCCTAAGTGCTTCCAAGGGATGCTGAAGGCCAATTCTAACTATCAGATCCTACTAGTGCTTCAAGTGGGATGCTGAAGGCCAATTCTAACTATCAGATCCTACTAGTGCTTCAAGCACGGGATGCTGAAGGCCAATTCTAACTATCAGATCCTACTAGTGCTTCAAGCACGGGATGCTGAAGGCCAATTCTAACTATCAGATCCTACTAGTGCTTCAAGCACGGGATGCTGAAGGCCAATTCTAATTATCAGATCCTACTAGTGCTTCTACTAGTGCTTCAAGCACGGGATGCTGAAGGCCAATTCTAACTATCAGATCCTACTAGTGCTTCTACTAGTGCTTCAAGCACGGGATGCTGAAGGCCAAATCTAACCAAGATCTCCCCCCGTCTCTTTCCTTGTCATGTTCCTTGTATGTCATTGGTAGATAATATGCAAGCAGATGTTAACTGCATTTGTTGCCTCATAAGTGATATATCAAGAACAATATTACCAGTTTCATATAAGCTGTATTATAAAGGGTATAGCCAATCAGTGCATGGCTAACCCCATGGTTATTCCCAGATAGCCAGCATCCTATGGTAGTCGAAAGCAACCACTAAGTGGATTGGGTGAGCAGACTTGGTGGCATGGCTGGTTGATCGAGAATCGGTTATTTCCAGACTGTGATCTTATAGCCAGTATATTGCCAAACAGCTAGAATATTGTATTATATTGTTCGTCACAATTGCTGGTGTGCATCGTGCTTAAGCTAAGATTTTGGATCATTTGCATCAAAAGAGCACAGATGAACCTCCAGCAAGGATTTGATGTTTGGTTTTTGACAAGCAATCAGTCGATTCCAAATTTCAGTATCTTTAAAGAGTCATCACATTACTTCATAAAACTAATTATTCTCGGGCATTAATGTTTCAGGTTTTGATAAACTTTGAATGTGCCATGATATGACTCAGGCTTCCAATGTGTCATTTGAGACACTATTAATACTGTCAATATTACATATTTTATATGTGTTTCCTTTTTCTATCATTACAGAAAGACACACTTGGACAGTGGCTATTTGACAGAGTATGCGAGAAACTCAGCTTGGTCGAAAAGGATTACTTTGGGTTGCGATATGTGGATGCCGAGAAACAAAGAGTGAGTATAAACTTTGTAACTTTTCACAGATCCAGTGGGCACTAGTGGCCCTGCCATCTGTAGTGCCACAATTTGCTTTACAGAATTACGTCCCTTGGGTTCGTTGGCAACCTAGGCATTGTTTGAATTGGCAGTCCAGACTGGAATTATCTGAAATTTAAACATTGGGTACACATTTTGATCAATATAAAACAGTTTCAACAAGCAAGCAACATTAAAATCTTGTGACATTTGTGAACATATTTTTTTAAAGAATTAAGAAACATTTTCTATATGTTTGATCAGTTAAATTATTCATTACAGTTGTAAAGCCACATGTTTGAACAAGAGCTTTGCAAAAAGCTCATGATTAGGAAATTGGTATTTATAGAAGAAGATTATGGCTCAAGACTTTCCGATTCAAAGTGACAGAACAGATATTTATATTGCCACACAGATTCATGAATGTTAAAGGGAATTGCAAACGTGCGTGGGGGATGGAAGTCCATGCTGGGGAGGGGGGTACAGAGGACGTGTGAGTACAGTGTAGGGGGGATGGGAGTCGTGTTGGGGAGGGGGTAAAGAGAATGTGTCAGTACAATGTAGTGGGGATGGGAGTCGTGTTGGGGAAGGGGGTTTAGAGGACATGTCAGTACAATGTAGTGGGGATGGGAGTCGTGTTGGGGAAGGGGGTTTAGAGGACATGTCAGTACAATGTAGTGGGGATGGGAGTCGTGTTTGGGAAGGGGGTTTAGAGGGCATGTCAGTACAATGTAGGAGGATGGGAGTCGTGTTTGGGAAGGGGGTTTAGAGGACATGTCAGTACCATGTAGTGGGGATGGGAGTCGTTGGGGAAGGGGAAGGGGGTTAGAGGACATGTCAGTACAATGTAGTGGGGATGGGAGTCAGAGTCGTGTTGGGAAGGGGTTTAGAGGACATGTCAGTACAATGTAATGGGGATGGGAGTCGTGTTGGGGAAGGGGGTTTAGAGGACATGTCAGTACAATGTAGTGGGGATGGGAGTCGTGTTTGGGAAGGGGGTTTAGAGGGCATGTCAGTACAATGTAGGAGGATGGGAGTAGTGTGTTAGGGAAGGGGTTTAGAGGACATGTCAGTACCATGTAGTGGGGATGGGAGTCGGTTGGGGAAGGGGTTTAGAGGACATATCAGTACAATGTAATGGGGATGGGAGTAGTGTGTTGGGGAAGGGTTTTTAGAGGACATGTCAGTACAATGTAGTGGGGGGGATGGGAGTCGTGTGTTGGGAAAGGGGTTTAGAGGACATATCAGTACAATGTAATGGGGATGGGAGTTGTTTTGGGGGGAAGGGGGTTTAGAGGACATGTCAGTACAATGTAATGGGGATGGGAGTCGTTTTGGGGAAGGGGGTTTAGAGGACATGTCAGTACAATGTAATGGGGATGGGAGTCGTTTTGGGAAAGGGGGTTTAGAGGACATATCAGTACAATGTAATGGGGATGGGAGTCGTTTTGGGGAAGGGGGTTTAGAGGACATGTCAGTACAATGTAATGGGGATGGGAATCGTGTTGGGGAAGGGGGTTTAGAGGATATGTGTGTACAGTGTAGGGGGATGGGACTTGTGCTAGGGAGGAAGGTATAGACGAGGCTGATGGCATTTATACTCCTCCTTCATGCCTACATACATGCACTGGATGGTAGACATTCCAAGCTCCATTGTTGTTCTTGCTTAAACTCTGACCTTTCTGCCTCCAGCTTGTGATATTGTTTCTTTATAACTGAAAAGGCAGCCCTAGATTGGGAATGTAGTCATTGGTTTACTTCTTAAATTGGATTGAATTAGATGGAAATTTTACTTAGGAGAAAGGAGTATTTGTGACCTTTAGTGGTGGTTAGTTTGGTTCCTCCTTCAGCAAGCACAGAATTTAGGCATACTTGTGGCTGTGTCACATGTAGCACAGATATCTGCTTTACACTACTGTTATAAACATTACAATTAATGTATATAAACCAATGTCAATACAGGTATTAGTACTTTTAACCATTGCTGCAGGTAAACTGTATACGTATCACTGCTACAGGTACACAATGCATACCTCTGCTGCAGGTAGACAGTGCCTGTTACAGATATAGGTAGACTGTTTGCCTTCTTTTGCTACAGATAAACTGTATGATTACAACTGCTACAGGTAAACTGTATGATTACAACTGCTACAGGTAAACTGTATGCCTACCATCGTTGAAGGTAGATAATATGACAACCTCTGCACATACATGTATTCATTAAAATGTAAATAGATGTTACAAGCAGTATGGGTGTATGTTGTCATGGAAACCTGACGATGATTCATACCTCTAAACTCATTGCCATTCAGTACTGACAAATCTTTTCATTAATAACAGTATCAAAGTTGAAATCTTTACCAATATTTATGGCAATACATTTTTCAGTTAAATCCATTATTCATGAACTGTTACATAAAGGAATAGATTTCTTTGCTTAATATGAATTTGATGGTGGTGTGCAGTGGTCGTCCCGTATTCAGTATATGTCAACATGTGAGAAGTGTGTAGAATATGAAGATGAATCCATCAGACGTGACATTGTGATTTTTCTTTTTCATTCATCCTTCCTGATTTTCTTTCAGCACTGGTTGGATCCATTGAAAACTGTATATAAGCAACTCAAAGGTAGGTGCGACATAATACTAGTGAAACGTTGATAACTTGATACCGTTTTAATAATCTTTCTCTCCTCTTCTCACATCTCATATCACATCTCATGGCTTATACAGTACTGCAGCCAGACTGCGTAATTGCAGGATTCCTGCTAATTGTACTGACCTTGGTGTTTATAAATGTAGGCGCCAACATTGGCTCAAATTTATCATTTATAATGCGTTTTTATATATTGGGCACATAAATAATTTCAAAATATGACTATTTTCATTGAAAGCGTTGTCAAACATTCGGAAATCAAAATAAAAATATTGACACTTCTGGAATTCATAGCGTGGCTTCATAAGCTCTACACATTGCTAGTGCGTCTATTTGCATAGGAAACTGTAATATGAATCACTGTATGGAGCTCGACTTGATGTACAGAGTTTATCATAGTATCGTTTTGGCTGTTAGAATGTCAAGGAGAAGGATTACAGATCTGTACGGCTGTCAATCCCCCCAAAATACCACACGTCAGTGACAATGAACCATCAGAGGCAGACAATCAAAATTTCGAAGTTATTGGCCCACATTTTCTAAAGGTAGGTCCTAACTGGCCCCTTCCACATGTTCCAAGGAAATCCTGGCTGCAGCACTGCTCATATTTTGAGCCATATCTCCTCCCATATCTCATACCCTGAACACACTTTGCCTACCAGAGGTACAGGTAAACTGTATGCTTACAACTGCTACAGGTAGACAATGCCTACCATAGCTACAGGTAACAACACATAGTTTCTTCCCTTGCTTTCATCAAATCTAAGTTTAATAATTATATATTATGGTCCTTTGTGAGCAATATCTATCTGTTCATCTCCATTGACATTCTCAGACTGAGGTGCATGTGAAAAACTTCTTTTCAGTTTTGTTGTACATTGGGGGATTTATGATTTAATCTAACATAAGATTAAGTTCCTTTATGTAATTGTCTGGTCACCATGACGACATATAGTAGTGAGCCTTCAGAGTCTGTAAAGAGTCCCAGACATGATCACTCTTGGTCTTAAGGGGGCTGACATTTCCCGGAGTTTCGGCTCAACTGAAGTTGGGAGTTCTGCCTCACTGATACATGTATGTTACACTTTCCACACACTCAGCAAGTCTTGATATTCTCTTCAAGTCGCATGCTTCCAACAGCAATTTGGCCAGTTGCCACGGCAATAAAAATGCACACAAGGAAATGTACCATAGCTGGAAAACATTGTATGTACTGAGTTACACAAAAAATAGCACTATTAAGCTATTTTTATCCCTGATCCTCATTCTCATGGAAGTTATAGATCTGAGTTATTTCATAATTGATCGGAAATGGAAAAACAGTAGCTCAATTACTGCGTACAATAACCAATTTTTGTGGATCCCGCACTCCGCTGTAGTATGCCTAAAGGTCATATCGTAGGTGGTGGCACGTGGTCGTGCGTACAACACACAGATCAGAAATCAGCTGAAGCTGATCAGCTTTGGTTGTGGATGGTCCTTGAAAGGGTGACATGTATGGTAACTGGGCTCTTGAGAGTTTCCAAATGGTTGGTCTTGCCCAAAATGAATATTGGATATCGTGGAACACCATTGAATAGTGTCCTGTATCTGCATCTGTGACTTTGTCTGGTTGACATTTGACACATTCCCATCAAGATCTCTGGGTACAGCCTGACACAGCATTGACCACTAACTAGTTCCTAGGCAGCATCAAGAATACTAGTCTGCCATACAGGCCCTGAAACAAATATAGCCAAGAAAGCCCATGCAAGGCTAGAATATGCGGGCAAGTCTAGATGTCCACAGTTTCTGAAAATGAAGAAAGTCTGTGGGCTCCTTTTCATTGTATTTTACATTTTTTGTCTGTAAAATATGTTCGTTTTAGAGACTAAATGTTCATCTAGACTCCAAGAATACTTGCCTTCATTGAATTCATTCCCAAGTTGGACTTCAGGATGAGAAATAGTCTAGTTCATGATATACTATTGAACTAGCCATGCTATCTTAGCCTGGCACTGGTCAGTGACTGTGGCAGTGGTCTAGACCATGATCTACAACAGAACTTGCCAAACCATCAGTAGTCTTTGAGTAGAAGGCATACCTAGCATGAGTCAGTTTGCAAAATTATTTGGGATGATAAATAAACATCTCATCCTAGTGTCTTTTAATATCAAATGCATCAACATGTAAACTTCAGAAATAAACTTTAATCAACACGTGTTGATGTCATGGACATTCTGAGGTTGAAAACTTCATTGTTTTGTTTGTTGTGTAAGGCTACATTCAGCAGCATTGTAGCTATATGACATGGGACTGTAGGTGATGATCCAGTGATAGCTAGTGGGTGATGAAGGTCCACACTCCAGAGTACAGTGGCGACTAATCAGTGGCTGACCTCTTGATCAGTTTGGTCACCTCTGACATCCTGCATTAGTGCCAGTTACCTATCTTAACCTGGAATCCTCGAGGGGCATTGGGGTAGCTTAGTGGTTAATGCGTTCACTCATCACACTGAAGACCCAGGTTCGATTCCCCACATGGGCACAATGTGTGAAGTCCATTTCTGGTGTCCCCCACCTTGATATTGCTGGAATATTGCTAAAAGCGGCATAAAACCCAACTCACTCACACTGGAATAGTCAAAGTGGGATTTCGGCCTTGCTGTAAATATTAATTCACAACTGAATATTAAACAGTGCCAGCAGTCTATCATTAAGTATCACGAGAAACTAGCAAGTCACATTATACATTTCTGCTGTTCTACTTATCTGACAGAGCATAATTGGCAAAAACGATTCTTGCTTTGCATGTTTTGTAGTATAAATGGTAAATTTGTCAGATAGGCAGTGGATCAGGTTCCACTCAAAGTGATCACTGGTTGCAACTGTTTAGGCTGAAGTTTACAAGAAGAGAGATACATGCAATGAGGAAGGTGAAATTGGGATGAACCGAGTCAGCATTTGAGAAGCTGCAGAATAAAATTGATAGTGTTTACAGTTTCGGTACTTGTAACTTAGGCAACATAAATAGGTGTGGATTTTAATCTGGAAGCCTCTTGCAGGTTGGTTCTTCAATGAAATAAATCACATAATGTTTGATTGATGAAGTAGAAAGCTGCATTAAATGTACTTCAAGAGGAAATTATGTATTGGGTTGGATCAAAGAAAGAACTGGCTTGATCTTAAGTTCATCTAATTCTGGACTTTTCTTCACAGACAAAATGGCAAAGTTCCACTTAAAATCACAGAATTCTCAAGCAGTGATTTTATACTTCTCAGTGACCATGTCGACTGAAATTCTGTCTCGTCGGCCATGTTGGAAGCTTCAAGATTTAGCCAATGTGAGTCAATCACAATGGTCCTATATCAATATTGCTCCAATATTGCTCCAATAAGACTAGACAGCAGTAATGATAGGTCAATGTGGGTACTGATACGGCCTCTTGTCTAGATTGGATAAGGAGATCAAGGAGGAAGTCTAAGTATGGTGTGTGGGAAATAGTAGCAGAATAGCTTGGTTCCTTGTCCTCCATTGACACAAGGTATATATAGCAGGAATAGCTGCTGTCAGGATTCACATATAGATCAAGAGTATTTCAACCGGGGAAAGATCCCTTTACATGTCTGACTTGCAGCAGGGGCTGGAGCTAGACAGGTGGTGTGTAAATGGGGAAACTGGCGCAATGTTGATTGATCTGAATTAGACAGGTAATTGTACTGGGGAAATTTTATATGTTTTATATCTTTTACATAGAGTGTGTCGACATGAATGAATATATTTTTTAGATGTTAAGGAGAAAAGGAGTTGAGGTTTAGTGCAGGTTTACAACCTCATTGTAACTGGAGACTTTATTTTATGTTATACATTTTGATTTATATCGCTTGATGCTGAATACCTGTAGGTACACTACCTGTAAGGTAGTTGATAAGAAAATAGTATTTTTTAAGTTGCAATGTTATTGCTAGAGAGTACAAGAAAGAACTGGAATAGGTATTATGACATAAGATCTAAAATACATGATGTTGAAATACTAGGTCTATTATTGGTGTGTCACTAGCATCCACTGCCTAGGCAAGTCAGGTATATGGACTCACCTGCCAATGAGACACACAAGCTATGAGTATTGCTAACACAACAGCATGAGGAGAGACCATTTGTCAGTGATGCTACATGGCATGAAGTGCGTACTGACATCACGAAGCAGAAAACAGCTGGTACAGCCGAGGCTGACTATATATTGAAGGCATTTGGGTGGAGATTAGGTCGTAAATACAAAGCGTGAAAACAGTTCTAGTCTTGGGGTTGGCAGTGTGTGCAAGTGATACTGAGACAGGAATGTTTGCAATGATGCCAAGTGACGTTTGCACCACCTGAAGTCAAGGGAGTTTGCATTTGCTGATGTAAGAGTTATCTCACGTGACCTGCCCCGGTGCAAGGAGTGTTGTGAGCTTGATCTGCCTGTGTGGACAGATTTAAAGTGCAGTGTAACTGAACAAGATCTTAGGTCATTTCTTTAGACGTAAATGTAAGACAAATGAGTCTGCAGTGTTTGAAAAAAAATGGTTTCACGATTTATGACATTGCCTCGTGATCTAATGGTTATTACGTTGGAGTCTTGTAGGATAAAATTAAGACTTATTTCAAGCCTTCCAAAGGATCAGCTCATGGCCTCATTCATTTGAGATCTCTTGTTGACAAATTCGTCTTTGAAACACTTAGGGACATTGGAAGGATTTTGATGTGGAAGAAAACAAAAGACTGTATTAACTCAACTGGAGACTGTACTGAAAGTTCAGCTGAAGTCAACAGCTCTTGAATGGCACAAGTTTTGAGATGTTTAGGAGAAATGGGATGGAAGGTCTTGGGGTAAACTTGTTAACAGCTAAAGCTTTTATGCTATCATGTCAATCGTAGTCTACATGATGCCTGGTAAGTGAATTTTGTAGCTTTTAATTATTTTTGGCAGTAGGGCTTCAAAGATGAACATTAAC